ACAGACATGACCAGTGCATACAAATAGAACCCCACTTTATTAGCAGTTAGTTCGAGATTGTACATTAATGGAGGAAGGTTCCCACTTTTAACACAACCCAAAACGGCTGGTTCGAGAGCCCTGATCGGGTGAGCTGGGTAGCATCCCCTCTCCCCCCTCTCCCCACCCCACACAAGGGAAGGAAACCTCTGTCTGCTCCCCTAGTGTGCCCCCCACCCTCTCCAGTCAGCCCTCTCCTCTCCCCAGGAAATGACATGAATTTCATGCACAAATTACAAAAGGAGCCCTCTTGCTTATAATAAAAGCTAGCACAGTCATAGAAAACCCTCTCCTCCTTCATTCTCCTCAAGGGCCAGAGAGAGGAAGGAAAGAGGGAGGGATGAACTCATTAGGATAAAACACAGCCAGAGTCTCCCCAGGCCCTTGACGATGACCCTTCACAAAGCCCGTCCCCTGTGGGAACTAAAAACATCTCTGGCTGTCGGAGCTGGCAAGGGCAAGCCCTGGGGGGTGGGGGGGGGGGGGGGGGGCAGCCAGCCCGGGGCTGCAAACCAGGCACCCAGCATTGCCTTGAGGGCGGGGGCCTGGGCCCTCCACCCTCACTTCCCCTAGAGCAGACCCGCTTCCTTCTTTGACATTTGAAAACCCCTGCTTTAGCCCCATCTGCTCATGCTACGAGTGGAGACATTGAGGCCCTGGGAAGAAAACTGTCACGCAGCTACTAAATGTACCCAGTTGGGACGAAATTTCACATCTCCTGCCTCCAGCCCAGTGCTCTTCTCCTCACACCACAGCTTGGGGGAGGCAGTTCCCCAGCTAGGCCCTTCCCTGGTGCATCCCGGGGGCCTGGCTCTGCTCCAGTGCACACAGACCATGGGCCTCTGGGAAGTAAAAACCAGGAGGCCACAAAACAGAGAAAGAGGGAGACAGAGAGAGAGAGAGAGAGAGACTCTATTTGGTGCCGTGTGGTCCATCGCCAGGATCAGAGGGGGCAGCACAGGGTTTTCTGAGCCAGAGGCATCTCCTTCCCAGAGGGCCCAGCCTCCTCCCCCTAGGGGGCACAGCTGCAATGGCCACCCCCTTGCCCTCCCCTGAGCTCCTGGAACCCCATCCAGCCCTTCTGCCGGTTTGGCACTTGGTACAGGTGACGGCAGAGGGGCATCTCAGGCCGGGATGAAGTTGTCGAGTCAGCACAAAAGGCAAAAATCCATGCGGCCTGAATTCCCCTTGACAAGACAGGGGCTGGAGGAACATATTCTATGACACCATGAAGAAATGATCAGACAGACCCAGCATGTGGGACTCGGACAGGACAGCAGGCCTGCTCTCCTCAGAAATAACGTCATTTAAAAAAAATCAAAGTGAGCGGAGAGAGGATTTTTCAGCATTTCAAGAGACTGAGCGACAACCACAGTTATAAGGTACCATATATGCACCTTGACAGGATCCTGATTCCCAAACCAGGTATGAGTTACCTGGGGGACAAGTGAATATAGACTGAACAGAGGATGTTCTTAGGAAATCACTGCGGTCTTGGTGTGCTACAGGCCAATTATGGAGGACAACGTCCTAACTCTTAGGGGACCCAGGCAGAAGCGTTTTGGTAAAGTCTCATGATATTTGCAGCAACTTACTTTTAAACTAATTCAGAAAAAAAATATACACACACAGAGAGCGAGAGAGAGAGAGAGAGAGAAAACAAATGCGACAACGTGTTCATTTGAAATCTAGATGGAGGGTACTGGGTGTTCAAAATAAAAGAATTGGTAAAACATGTTTTCACTTGCTCCTTTACCAACGAACCCATGGGGGACCCCTCCCCACTGAGACCACCAATCTCTGGGGGGTCAGCCTAGTTTTCCTCCACTGGAAACAGACCACTGCTCCCTCATCTGGGCCCCGGAGGTGCTGGCCCTCCGACGCACAGGCTTGGAAGAGGCCCATCTTTAAACTTCAGGCTCACCCTCCGAGCACAAGACGCCTGCACTACGGGCGGCTCTAGAACCCCAGGTGACTCGGGCAGCTGCAGGTGACCATGACACCTGTGCCCTCCCCCAGCAAAGGCTTGTGGAAAAGATGGCAGAATGGATGGTGGAGTCAGCTACATGACTTAAGCTATTTCTCTTTCTCCCTCTCTCTCTCTTTTATTTTTTGGCCAAACACAGTGAATTAGCGAACATTAAAGATGCTGCGATGCTGTACCCATTTGCACCTCTCGTGTGGAGGATCTGTGTGCTCAGTAGCTGAGAGCCCCTAGAGGGATTTATCTGTCCCCCTCCCCAATATCCACAGGTCCTGGCAGTGGGTCCACAAGAAAGATTTATCAGTGGGAAAGGAAGTCGCAGTGACCAGACAGACCTAGAACATGGGGCAGGTCAAGTCCCTAGCCTCCCAGAAGGGCCTGGACAAAATGCTCCAATATTTCCTCTGCTCCCACAGGGTCCCACAGGGTCTCAAAACTGCCCGCTCCTTCCTGGAGCCAGAGGCGGAGAGAAATGGAGCTGCCTGCCCTCCAGGCCTTCTGAGCTCCCGGAGGTGGGAGCAGGCATCCAGACACAGAGGGTACATTTCAACAGGTGGGAGCTGCGAGCTCTTCACAGGCCACGGAGCTCGAAGGTGGGGGACGACGCTGGGGTCTGCACTACGGAAGACCCCGTCCTGCGAGTCTGGGCCGTGGCACCAGCAAGCGTTCACGGGCGTACAAGCAGGCACACCACCCTGTCCTCAGACACTCTGTTCCTCATCCCCGGCGGGGTCGACACTGCCCGGGGTTCCCAGGCTCAAAGGCCCCGAGGAGAAGCATGATGGGAAGGCTTCTCTCGCAGGACAGCGGACCCACACGCAGCTGTTCTGCTGAGTATCCACCCAGGGAAGAACTTGAAAAGAGGGGACGGGTTCAGAGCTCAGCCAGACCTGGCCCCCCCGCACACTGGGGAAGGACCTCTTAGGGAGAGCAAGGCAGGACTGCAAATGCAGATCAGGAACTGAGAAGGCTCAAAGGCACCCTGGCTGGGAAGGAGTGGTTTGTCCCCTATCCTGGAATGACCACGGGTGTGACTGAGGGAGGGACAGGAACCTGGCACAGAGTAGGGTCCCAAGGATGGGCTCAGAGGCAGTGTGGCATTGGAAGAAGAGCACTGGACCCAGAATCAGGAGCCTCAGATTCAGTTCTCAGCTCCGCGTGCACCCAGTTCTGAGACATCGGCCAAGGAGGCCGCCTCCCTTTTCTGGACCTGTTTCCATACCCGTCAAAGGACCCTTCCAGCCCCAAGATGCTAGAGTCTTCCGAACAGGACGAGGCTCTCCAGAAAGGGATTCCTGGAGGTGGGCTGGAAGCTAACCTGGCAGTGGGAGGGGCTGGGGACAGGCGCCCAGCCTTCGTCACTTCACATTGTTAAAGAAGGGGGTAGGAGCAGACCCTAACCAGAAAACAGCCCCGAGATCCCATGGTCTGTGGCGGGGGAGGGGGGCCTGGAGACAGTTCAGTGGGTCCCAGCGGGCAGTCCGGCTCCCAGGGCAGCTCCCAACCTAGCACCATATGATGGGGACTTCGGCCCCCCCAGCCTCCCGCCCCAGCCCTGCTGTTGCCTTTGGCCAGAATTCCTCCAGGGTCACTGCGCTTCACGAAGCCAGGTTTCCTGGAGGGAGTAGGTCTCTCCTGTTCATCTCACCACCTCGGTTCACCCGCGGTAGCCCCAGGACAACTGCGACACTTGGGGAAGGAACAGAGACCTCTCCAAGGGACACCTCCAAACTGTCTCCTGGAGGCCCGGACATATGAAGACACACGCCCTCCTCCATCCTACCATCCCATTCTCTAGCACTGAGATGTGACACTGGGGCTTGCCACCATTTTGTATGACTGAATTAAAAATAAACCCAACCAAAAAAAATAGAATATATATATATACACATTATATATATATATATATATATATATAACACAGTGCGACCCCAGCACCCAGGGTATAAACTCTGGCACCAAGAAAAAAACAAAATATTAAAATACTTTAGCTTCTTAGTATTTGGGAGGGGGTTAAGGGGGTCTCTAGGAGCCCTTGGCCACAGGTAGCTGGGGCAAAGCCATGGACAGCAGTCTCACCCACTCTGCCCAGTGTCTGCCAGGGGCCAAGGTTGGGTGGGCGTGGGGACAGCATATGTACATTGGGACATGTATACTGGCAGACTCCTGAACCGCCTCAGTCTTTTACCACAGGAAACACCACGCGTCATATCCCAGGGTGAGGAACAGGGGTAGGGAGGCCTGGGTCTCTGGGTCCAAATGGCATGGCGGTGCCCCGGGGTCCTGAAGAAGGCCCCAAGGACTGGGTGGATACTGTAGGAATCAGCGATCCTTTACCCAAAAGGGAAGGTGAGATGTGAAAGTATTAACCAGAATGTGTGAGGAGGTCCAGAGTTCTCTTGAGGTGGCCACCCCCACATCCAGCCTAGTGACTCTGGGTCCCCCGCTGACCCCTCTGAAGCGCCTGGCTCAAAACAGTCAGGGAAGCATCCAGTCTCTCTCCCTGGTTTGGCAAAAGGCCCAGCTGGGCTCTTCTCCCTATTGTCTGGAGGACGGGGAAAATAGGGCAGCTAATACTGAGGGGATACCCTGCCCGGGGCAGGGAGTGATGGGATGACGGGGAGGGTGTGGTTGGTAGAACACAGTGAGGGACAGAAAAGAGTCTCACGGACTCCCTCCTACCAGGAAGTGGCCTCCCCCCAACAGGAAGTGGCCTCCCCATGGAAGGCTGTGAACGGAACGGACCCCTGGTGGCTAAGGAGGTCCTGTAGGCCACAGACCCGGCACTGGATGCTCTCAAGTGCCTGCGGACCTGCCTGGGCTCTTCTCCTGGCCCTGCCTGGGCCTCAGCTGAGTATTGCTCATAAGTGCTTGGCCAGCCCAGGCCCAGCTCCCCACTCTGCAGGTCAGTCTGGCTCAGCATGCGGCAGGCCGTCCAGGCCATCGCAAACGTTCAGTGTGGCTGAGGTGGCCGTGGCTACCTGGTGTTCTGGAGGTCCTCCCGCAGCCAGGTGGGCAGTGTCTGGCCCATCTTGTACAGCAGCTTAGAAAGCTCGATGTTGTGGTCCCGATAATAGTCTTTCAGGAAGGCGCGGGACTGGAACGGGAAGGAGAGTTCAGATCTCAGTGACGCGCTGATTCAAGAGGGATCCCTCCCCACCACTCTGTCCGCGTCCACCCATACACCTTTCATTCACAGTCTTTCTGAAAATGGTAGCTTCCAAGAGAAAACTCCTATAGGGCAGGGCGCCAAAATACAATTACACAAGGTAAAAGTTCTCGTGATAGGGAGAAAAGAGAGAATTAATTAAAACCGGGGCAACTGAGAGTCACAGCGTGCAACCTCTCCCCTGCATCCTTTGGACACTCTCCTGCAAGAATAGGGATTCCTCTATGCCCAGGTCCGGTGTCACCCCCGTCCTCACAGGCCCAACCCCAGAGCCC